TGGATCTAACCTATCCCTATTTCTTTCTCTTTGTTATAATATGAGGAGAGAAGCTTTATGATTCAGGTATCCAAAAGGCCTGGGCAACCAAATTGAATGAAAACAAGGGAGAGCCGATGGACGCGTATTGTATGTAGTCGAAAGATGATGCTCGATGGTGTGATAAGGTAGCCGCATTGCGGCATACAACCACCATGCTTCGGGCAATGTACGTAACGACGAACACGAACGGCGTCGGCAGTGGCGGCCGTAGAAACTTCCTCGACCTCTACGACTCCTACTCTCCCTTTTTCATACCCTTCCACTTCATTCGGAAGGGGATTGGCTCATGCCACTTTCCTTCGACCTATACCTGAAAATGCCTAAATCGAACAACCATACCACCATCACCATATATAGGCTGAGTATACACGCGATCTATCACGCATCAACTAATCGATCACTATTTCAAATAATAATAATAATAATCAAGACAATATATCAAACGTATTCTTCGAATGAATTGTCATAGTTCGAGTAATATTTATTAAAAAAAAAAAATAAAATAAAACAATCAAATTAGAAATGCAATTAATTATAACGAAGTACGATAAAAGCTTCACATCTTCTTCTGGAAGAGAATCGAGTACGCTCGTTAAAATGAGCAGATGAGCAGATGAAGAACGTAAACCAAGCGATACGACGTAAAACCACTTAATGAACTACGATTAAAGGTGTTAACACATCTCTTTAAATAAAAGATAATTTTAATTATAATAATGATGAATCTTTATTTTAATAATAATAATAATAATAATAATAATAATAATAATAAATAAAACGATTAAATATCCTCAATGTTTCTCGAACAAACTTCATTATTAGATCCAATTTATAATTTTATTTCCTTTTCGATGATCTTTTTCCAAACTTTGATACTTTAGACATCGAACGATTAATAAACGCAGTGAGAGCACGTAACTCCTATAATTGGATACAGGTGTAGTAATTCAATCACGTTGATCCATGATGGATCGATTCTTAGAGCGAATCTTGCTTCCAAGAAGAGATAGAGGAGAGTAGGTTGATAATATTGAGTTCAACTGGATGGTGACAGGTCTCCAAACGAAGTGAAAGATAGAGAGAGAAAGAGAGAGAGAGATAGAGATATGGGAAGATAGATAGGTTGATGATAATGATGAGATGAAGATGAGAGAGAGAGAGAGAGAGAGAGAGAGAGAGAGAGAGAGAGAGAGACTGTTATCTCTCGTAATTAAACGGATTCGAGCTTTTGCTATCGATCGTTGCTCAACGAATTACGTGCGCAATAGTATATAATATATACATATGTACATATATTATAATAGTACATAAGCATTTGGACTATTAACAAATGTGATAATAAATAGACAATTTATTTAAATGGTAGCAATTCGTTCTTTTTATAGGGTCGATCTTTTAGCTGATTTATTAGCTGTTGCTTCAAATTTTTTGCCAAAAAGATAGCTCAATGAACTTCGATGGGATACAAGAGTAATTAATCTTTACAGACGATATCGTATATATACATAAAGCCATATGTATTTTATGCATGAGAATCCACGTGTGCTATAGACATTTCTATTTTTCTCTTTCTTTCTCTCTTTTTTTCTCTATTTTACCGATCGTATATTTATACGAATCCAAATATTTGGGACTGACGATGACGTCAAGAAAGAATAAAAAGGATCTTTTCGGAATGAAAATGAAAGATTCATGCGAAAAGTTATCAACTCTATTCCTATCTAAAAACTAACCGAGAAATAGAACTTCTAAGTAGCTATATATATATATATATGTACATATATGCATCGTACGAGGTACATAGAACAGGTGAATTCTGTTAGTATCCTTCAACACTGGAGTTGTTTCGAAGTTGTTTACATACTTACAATACCATCGCTAAAGCGGCATACATATATACATATATATATATAAGCGTGCCCACACTACACACTATGTATACTACAGCAGACTGTTCTTTACACAATTACTTGATTTCTTTCGTATAATTAAATCACACTATTCGTTTAACAAAAAACAACACGTGTAATATTATAGAAAATAGTAATCGTCACTGTATAAAAATCCACCTCACAAATAATATAAAAAACTCGATCCTATTTATAATAATAAATGTAACACAATGAAGAAAACACAATGAAAATAACTTTCCCTTAAAAACGTGAATATGCATACATCTGTATATATATATATCTCATTGAAAAATCCGAAAGGAAAAATAAAGCTGTGTAATACATAAATGTATAAATAACATGTATCTCGAAAGATTCGAGTCAGGGGCAAATGTGTACAGTGCTTAAGGACGCTGAATGGGGACTGTATTTTCGCGTAAGAGGAGAAAGAGAGAGAGAGAGAGAGAGAGAAAGAGAGAGGACGCATTGCAAGAAGGGTGGGAGAAGCTGGCCTGGTTTCATTGAACCTGCAGCCACCCCTGTTACCGCGTAGCACCCCTTCAATGTGTGTGTGTTGGCTGCGTTCGTAGCAGCAGTGTGGTGCAACGCTGCTGCTATTCCTATTGCTACTGCTACTACTGCTGCTGCTGCTGCTGCTGCTGCTAGTAGTCAATCTCCCCTTCTCGTTTCTCCTCTTCATTCCCTCCTAACTCTCCTCCTCACCACTTTGCTCACCTATACAAGGAACTTGTGAGCTGGCTCCGAGCTCACTCACACAGTGGCGTTTCCGACGTACGGTACGAGGGGGTGTATAATCTCTTCCCCGGTTGGCGGCCGGGGGCAAGCTATGCATAGCCCGCGACGTCTATATATAGGTCGTCGTTTCTATAAATAGAACCACCGCCGGTACCCTTCACCTTCCACCCTTAGCCGCGGCCAACTTGAGAGAGAGTTTTACAACACCGGTCACGACAGTTTCAACGTGTCAAACTTTTCAAATATATGCAATTCTTTTAAATAAATCTTTATCTTCAAAGTGTATAACATTTATTGCGTGTTTGTTATTCATTTTGATAAGCTTCATTTTTCGTATATAATTTTTTTTCTATCTTCAAATAATTTTCGAATAATCAACTGTCTATGTTAATCAACAAATATTAGGATTCTATTTATATTATAATGAAAAATAAATTTGAAATTTTAAAATATATATATATATATATATACAATGGAAAAAGATACGAAAGGAATCTTTTTAAATGATCTCCGAAACGAGAATAATATTCGATATAGAATGTAAGATAGTTCGTGAAAGCAATTGTGTTGCTTACTTGTTATCACTAACTTGTACAATGCTTTGTCATTTCAAAACGAGTTTGACGCGCCCCTATTGCGTATATATACATATAATACAATACGCATTTTGAAAGTTTTCTATTTTACTCTAGATAGATCAATTTGGCCTAATTAACGTTTATCCCGATCATACGTTCCAACTTTCAGCAGCGGCAATTTGACGCAAAATGTTTGTCGATCAAACGTGGCTCGATAAAACTAGAACTGTTTGTTTAAGTGTCGCTAGTTACGACAATGACGTTCAACATTTCTATTTTTTTTTTTATTTATTTTATTTTACTCCAACTTTTAAACTCGTTCCGATTTGACGATCAAATAGAAATTTGATGAGAATTTAAACAAATAGAAATTAAAAGAAGAAAAAAACAACATATAAAGTTTTGAAATATATCGAAGATGTTCATATAAATATTCTTATTTATATTTATTGTTTGGTAACTGTATTTATAGATACATACATACTTACTTATGTAACACGTATTCTTCATCATTTTAAGTATTTTCCGAACCAAAAAACTATCTTACAATAGTGGCAACGTTTGAACGTATCGATCAGAGGTAGTAAGCGATAAATAGAGTCGAGCTGAGAGTCTGACGCCCGTGAGCCTGATTAAACTTCACTCTTCGCTAATGGTTTATAAATAGCTACCTTTTTTTTCTTTTTTTTCTTCTTCTTTTTCCTTTAAACACGATAACGAAGAAGGGAGTGCACCAAGCACACGTCCTTCTTGCTCTACTTTTGCTGCACCCACGTTTCTTCTCTTTTACTCATTCACTCTCTCTCATTCTCTCACTTTCTCTCTTTTCCTTTCTCTTTCTTTATTTCTTTTCGTTCATTTTTTTTTTCTTTCATGTTTCCACCTACATTTATTCCTTCGCCCTTTTTCATAGAGTTTCTCTTATACTGGCAAATTTACTTCCTTCAAAATCTAACGATTACCCAGAAAAATCCTTTGTTCGATCATCTTCTTCATCTTCTTCCTTATCCAAGCAATTTCCATATTACTTTTTTACGTAACTTATTCTCAAGTTCGAATAAACTTTTAACAAAATTTTCAGATTTTTTTAAATACTTATCAAAAGTACGTATTACCTATATTTTCATTTGTTTTTATTCTAAAGTATATATGAGTATTAACCCCGATCATGTATTATCGTTTATAACGTTGTAATAAAATATTTATTAAATTTATTTCAAGTATTTTTAGTCAATACGAATCCGAAATTCATTATTTTATTCTGAATTGTTCTTGAATTTCAGGATTGATTAAAATGAAATGTTACAAGATTACTTTCTCTTTTCTAAATGATTAGATCGACTTTTATCGATCGATCAATCTTCTATTAGTCACGTACAAGATTTATAAATAGCTTTTAAAAGGCAGTGCATTCTTAAGAATAAGGATTCAGGCTACGTTTATGACAGCAACCACTTATAAAAGGAAACAGGTGGCCTGATTTACGCGTACTAAAGCTGATGTTCCATGTTTTACATATAGGTACGCATGATAAATAATACATACAAATATACGCACACATATACGCAGAAAAAAAATTAATTCATTATCTCTGTTTAATTTATATTTTCTTTTAACCAATTATTACTTCGTACGCTATTGTATTCGTTTGATATATATATATATATGTATTTTATTGAATTGTTAATTTAATCTTTATTTTATTTTTCATATGAAAAATTGAATAACTTACTTTCCAGTGAAAAGGATTTCTTCTTCTTCTTTCACGTGCCATGTCAGGACCTCCTGACGCAGTTTTGTCTTCTATTATCCTGAAGAGAGATGCTCGACCTTTCGAATTTCGATTCAATCGTGGATGTTTCTGATCCAAAATAATATCTGATACCTGAAATAACTAAATTTATTATTTTCCAATACAACATTGAATCAATCTAGATAAAAATAATAATCGTTATTATTCAATAAATTCCTTCTTTAAAATGAGAAAAACAAATGAAACAAATGATATTAATTAATTAAATTTATTTTAAATTATGTCAGACGAGTTAAAAATGTTGAGAAATGTTAACGAAGAATATTATTCAAATTATTTAATGAATTTATTTTTAAATGAAAAAAAAAGAACTGATTTAAAATTTACTTATCAAAAAATATTATTATTATTATTATTCGTTTATGTATATTAAAATATATAGAATTTTATTCGTGTTTCTATGTCTGTAGTTGTTCACGGATCGTGTCTCACGAACCACAGATTTTCCGGCTCGACGTGCTCACTGTCGCTAGTAATTTTCACTATCGATCGATCCCATCCACTTCCGACCACATCACGAGTACCAAAATATATCTGGATTAACGGGAAGCCAAATCCCAGTGTGACTCGTAACCGATCTCACGGCGTTTCGAATGCAAATTGAATCGAGAATGGCCGATTTCTAACAATAAGTTTAGAGAACGGAAATTAATCGATTAGAGTATTATTTTATTCAATATTTTCTAGTTTTCTTTTTTTACCTTTTCAGTTAAGAAAAATATATTTCGTTTAAATCGAAATAAAATTTATTATTTATCTATAGATAAAAATATATTATTATTATTTTATTATTATAGAAATATAATTGATTTAATTACATGTATTTATACAGGTAACTTTTCTACAATACGGCATTCTATAACACGGTTTCACTTTAATACGATAAGAAAATTGCGAAAACCTTTATATACAACATTGTATTTTTACAGCACTGGATAACATGATTTTTGCTTGACATATTTAATAACTAAATTACCTTAAAATAATGACCAGAAGGAATAATGAACTCTGGATCTTATATAACACGGTTTTATACAACACGCCATTTTCCAAGAAATTATCTATTGAATTATAGGGGAAGGTTATCTGTACATATAATACATTTTTTTCTTCTTTTAATTTGCATTAAGAAGAATATCAAATTTCAAAATCAGCATCCTTATATTTAACATTTTGAGATAAAAAAACAAAAAACGAATAATATTTTAAATCTAATCGAATGATTTATGCTTCACTTTTATTCACGTTATAAATTAAAAAATCTGTAATTTATCGATTCATCATATTTTTAATCCTAAACATTTTCATTCTCTTTGTATACTTGAGATATTGGTTTCTGTGCATACTTGGGATTGATAAAAAGTTTTTCAACATTTACAATCTCAGATATTCTCTCTTTTTTTTTTTTATAAATATAATTAAATAATAAAAATATTTTTATAATAGGGACGATTAATATTTCTGGAATATCTTTTTATTCCCGTTAAAATAGAAAAATGATTAATGTCAAGATCATCACCCTGTTTTCTTAACATTTTTAATCTGTTAGCAGCCATTTTCATTTTCATCCAATACTTGAGAGTTGCAAATAGGCTGAATATATAGAGGGGCGTAGGTCGAACGATCGCGAGATAAAAGTGAAAGCAAAAGGGTGATCGATAACGGTCGTTAGATAGCACAACGAATAAGTCGTTCGATAAAAGATTAGGATAGGGGTAGGAGAGATAGGAAAGAAGAAGAGAAAAAAAAGAAAAATGTTGAATGATAGTTCAACGGATGGAAAGAACAAAAACTTAACGTTGAACGTTCCCTAGTAGCACAAAATATTGAAAAATATTCAATACATCTGTATTTAATATTAAAAAGAGATTTAATGTCTTTTTAATATTAAATACACATATATTTAATATTTTTCAATATTTTGTGTTACTAGGGTTGTTTTATTGTGAACAATTTTTCAAAATGTATATAATTGTTTTTCTTTTTAAATAACACATTTTATCAGACATGATAATATCAATTTCAAGTTCATCATTATCCAACATGGAATTCAAAATAATTTTTTGAAAAAAAGCTATAAAAAAAGAAATAAATTTGTGATTATTTGATTTAAAATTCTTGTCGAATAATAATAATAGTAATAATAATAATAATAATAATAATAATAATAATAATAATAATAATAATAATAATAATAATAATAATAAGATTTAAGACGCGAAGTATTAAAAAATTGACAGAATTTTGTATTAAATTGATAGTCGAATGCGTCGAAGTGTATAAACTGGACTAATGAAAGCATGCTAAGTGCTTGAACGGATAATTTGATTGTCTTTTAACTGCCGTTAAAGAGGTTGTTAAGATTTTAATTACAATATAAAACTCATCCTGAAAGTACATCATTTATTACATATATATATCTCATACTTTCTTTCTCTTTATTTTTTTCTTTCGTTTTTCGTCTACGTTAATTTTTGTAGCAAGAAAACGTATAGGAGATTACTTTATGAAAATATAAAAGAGGTAAAAAAAAAAAAATGTGGACACAACAAAATAGAATAAATAAATAGATAATAAAAAAAAAAATATAATTTGAAAAAAAAAAAGAGATGAGCTGTCCTTGTATTTATACGTTCAACGTATACGATAAGTCGCAATTATCTTTCGACGGGGCTTGGCTGTTTGTTCGTTCGACCGTGCAAATATGACTTCCAACGAACTGTAGAAGAATAAGAAACATAATAATAATAATAATAATAATAATAATAATAATAATTAAAGATAGAATAATTAAAAAAAAAAAAGAGAAAATTAACTTTTTATAAACATCGACCTTCTACCCTCTTGTGAGATATTATTATTATTATTATTATTATGTTACGTGCTATTCGTAAAGTCTTATTATAAGATTCATATGTAAGGATGCATTAGATATTTCTGTTTTAATTATAACTATAAATAAAATATATATTTTCTATAAAATATTATTTAAATAAAATATATGTAAATAAATATAATATATAATAATTATATAAATAAAATATATAAAATATAAAATATGTATTAATATATTTTATTTATAATTAGGTTTACATATATAAAACAATATGGTATATAAATAAAATAAGAAATGTAATTAAATTAATTTAATTTAATATAAATATAATATTTATCTTGTTATAAATCGATACGAATAATTAAAAAATAAATAAAAAATTATTATTATTATTAATGTTATAATGTTATTGAACATTTGAACGTCAAAAAAGTGATAGTCTTTTGATCTTGACAAATTTATTTAGGAAAACTCTTCTGTCAATGAAACGTAACATTCTCGTTAAGTAAATGTATTAAATAAACGTAAAAAAAAAAAAAAGAAAGGGAAAAAAGGAAAAAATCCGTGGTAAAATTTTCAACGCAATTCAATGTAAAAATGTTAAAGGACGATAAAAGCGATCGACATTAACCGGTCCAACGCGTTTATTTAATCAGAGATTATTATTTTTCCAGGGCAAACGTTTGGAAGTAGTGCGTCATCGAAATAGGAAGGACTTATCGTGCTCTTCCAGTCGAACGAAGCTTGCTCGTCTCGAATGGACCCGTCGCCCTGTTCAGTATACTGCATTGCACGAAAAAAAAAGAAAAAGAAAAAAAAAAGAAAAATTGGAATGAGAGAAAGAGAAAGAGGGAGAGAGAGAGAGAGAGAGAGAGAGAGACAAAAGACACGATTTTTCACGATTTTTCATGATTTTTCACGCTCTCTTCGAAGGACTTTGATGTTTTTTCTTTCAACATCGAGCGAGAGCGGACCGTAAAAAGAAATTCAAATAAACTGACAATAAAATAAAAAAATAAAAACTTGTATTTTGTATCTTTGTAAAACTTATCAAACGAACGAACGTCGTATTTTTTGTTACATAAAAAAAAAAAAAAACTTTTATTTATTTTTCTTTTTTGTTAAAATAATTAAACACGTAACATAATATTTTTCAAGTAGTCTTTAATTTAGTGAGTGTATTATGCATTAGGGGTGGTTCTTATATATGAGGTCTGAACAAAATTTCATGTTGGAAACCTGTTAAATTGACTCCAAATGGTAAAAATAAAATGATCCAATATTTTCAGATTTATATTTCATTTCATTCGTATTTCTGTTTTTATTTAAAATATACTTTGACAAAAAATTGGCATCAATATAGTCAGCACCGTAACGGAATAACCCACATATCAGTATTATATAACATCAAATTCGATGACATGCAAAAACTGACAATAAGTTAATTTTTTTTTACTTACTTTGATCACATACGTTGTGTTGAAAATGAAAAAAAAAAAAAACAAAAACAAACAAATTACTATAGCACAAGATATTTTTTGTTTTTTATTAAAAGGAAGATGAATCTCACAAAACATTGATTTTGTTGTTTACGATTAATCTTGAAATAAAATTTAAGATGATATAGCGAATAAGAATGTTTTCGAAATATTTGAAAATTTCCGCTCAAATGAGGAAGCAAACGAGAATGAAATAAAAAATCTAAAAAAGTTTGTTTACTATTTGGAATCGATATGACAAACTCTAACATGAAATTTAGTTCAGTCCTCAAACAAGGATCATCTTAATATGCATATACACTTATGGATGGTACATATATGTCATGTATCGTATATGTGAGATAGAATCATAGACATATATATATATATATATATATATCTATGTTGATTTTTATTCTATTAAAAAATAACACACTGTAGTAGTAGTAGATCGATGTTGGATTATTGAATATCGATTTAAATAATAAAAAAAATTAAGAAGAAGAAAAAAAAACTTCAGTTGGTGAGTAAAAGACTTTTGACTTTGGTGAAGTCAACGTCATATTCCGTCAAACGCCATTGTGCGATCTGATAGGTCGTTCCATAGAAATATTATGACACGAGAAAGGAGCGAAAAATTGGGAACAATGAAGTCGAAACTTGGAAGCGACCTTGCCTTTTTTTATCGCCTTTAAATATTCATCCCTCGTGTCGAGAAAAAGAGAACGGGGTTTGTGTGGACGGTCAAAAGTAAAGAA